AAAAATCTTAATAATAAATTCAAAACTTTTTGCAAATTTTGAAAAATTTAACATTATAATCTTATAATAAACATTCTACAGTTTCTTCATGCTAAATTTCAGTTATTTTTTTGTCATTAATATAAAAAATATAACCATTTTTGCTTAGGGGGTCCGTCTTACCCCACCTTCCCCTATGTATTTAATTTATTGTGGCAACTATATGCGGGTGAGAATCCGTGTTCTTTGATTTTCTTTTCTAGTTTTTTTGTGTCATTTTTCATGTATGGTATAGTGAAATATTTTCTTTTCTTTTTCTTCTGTTTTTTTTGTCTTATGTTCTTTGTTTACCGTACTTTTTGTCGTTATTATATTTGTTAATCCTATTTCTCATGTTCTCGAAAATAAATTTTAGTGGGTATCCGTTTTCAAGTAATGAGTTTATTGCTTTATTAAGGTTGCTCTTGTGAAATTTGTGATGTGACAATGTTAAGATTCTATCTGTCATATTGCTAATGATTGCTCTTTTATGTTGTATTGGGTGGTTTGAGTTAAAATTTAATAATCTGCCTGAATTTGTGGGTTTTTGGTAGTGATTAAAAATTATTTCATTTTGTTCTGTTGTAATGAGGGTGTCTAAAAAACTAATTGAGTTGTCTAGTCTTATTTCTATGGTGAATTTCAGTCTATCTTCTATTGAGTTGAAAACATTCAATGTTTCTTTGAGTTTGTCTGTTCTTGTTGCAATTAAGATGTCATCTACATATCTTATGTATATATTGGGTTTGTAATTTAATAGTTTAATTGCTGTGCTTTCTAAATCTTGCATTACCATGTCTGACACTTATAACAATATTTTTTTTTTATATAAAGTACAATACACGTTGATAAATTTTTTTCATACATATTAACGTTAAGTCATAGCTTTTTGTCGTATTTTTAATTCAGCAAAACTTGATTTCATTTTTAAAGCATGTTTTTTTGAAATATATTTTAGTATTTACATATTATCAGTACGTAAAATATTCACGATTTGACATAAGATCGCATTGAAAAACGTACGTCTTATTATCTTTTACAGATGTAAACTACCATTATCTTCGTATAATTCTAAATTTATTACGCATTACAACTGGAAATATGAAACACCTCTTCAACATGTTACGAATAAATTAGGTTCCAGAAAAACTACGAGAGACATAAGAATAAACAAAAAATGCCTAAAAATGACTAAAAATTTTATTTGGCTTTATGACATTGATATTCTTTCAGCTGTTAATCGTGCAAAGGACGGTAACATTACGACAACCATAAAATGTGGAACCTGTAACAGTCAATTTTCAAGCATTGCTTATTGCAATGACATAATTATAAGCGGCCACAAGTAAATATTTATTTTTAAATTTTGTTTAATGTTTATTTCTATTTTTTTTACAAAAATTCTTGCAGAAATGGTAGTATTAGCCATTGGAGATTTGGATCACGAAAAAACATTAATCTTCTACAATTAAAAACACATTTCAATGTATATGGTGAATACGTTTCGAACATAGAAGCAACAACGCAACATATTATATCAAGTTCTTCAAATTTAATAAAGGTAAGATTAAAAAATTTGGAATTATGCAATGTTAATGTAGAATGTAGAATGTAAAAAGTCCGATTTTGTTTAGATACAGAAAAATATATTTGAAGATTCTGCGGAAGAAAACGAACCAATTTATGAAAGCAGGAAATTGATTCAGTCAATTTCATTAGATCCTACAGAAAAAAAAGTTGCTGCAAGTACCGAAGAATCGTTTCTAATTTATGATATTAGTGCAAAGTAAGTTATGTGTCAATTAATTAATCGATATCTACAAATATTTAATTAAACGTTGACTATGGTTATACAGACGCTATTATATGATCCGATTTAATAATTATAATTTGCAATTATAACTTAATGAGCTATATAACATCCTGGTGTGAACCTTAAAGAAGCGGTTGTCGCCCACTGTGGAAAACTATATTAGACGGGAAGTTCTGTCTGTTGTCTTTCTTCGTTTTTAATATCGCCCACCATAACGGTAGTTAATGTGGAAAAAAAACAGATAGTCCACTATTGCATTCCTTTGGCCGCAAACTGCATATTAGTTCTTACAGGAAAGGCTTACTCCAGTATATTATATAGCTCGATGACGAGAGATGAGTTCGATCTCCTCTCTCTAGTCTTTTTGGTTTTCACGTATATTTGGAATAATATGAAATAAACTAATGTGAAGGTATTTTAGTTGTCTGGTAAAGGATGAACGTATAAATGATAGTACTTGTTCACAACTACTATGGGAAGATCCTCACACTATTCTCATGCTGTATGAACGTCAGATTCAAAAAATGGATACAAGGTAATAGATCTTATTGTTGACATTAATTGGCCATTCAATTTAATTATATTTGCTACTGTGATTTTAGAACACCAAACTTTGTACGTACATGGAATACTTCTGTCTTAAAAAAAAATCCTAAATTACATAGTTTCTCTTCAGATTATTTGTATACTATTATGACAGGGACAAATATTGGCACAGTACTTCTATGGGATCAAAGATTAAATGATTGCATTCGGGTTTGTATAACTTTCAAATTTTATGTGTCTTGTAATGACCTTTATTAATACCCTATTGCTAACTGTCTTAAAAATTTTCAGACGTATCAAGTATCTCTTATCCGTTTCAACCCTGTACTTTCTGTGCAATTTGATAGCACCCATATGTATGCTATTACAAAACTACGAGGTGTGATTCAACTTAATTTTAGGGATGGAGTCACTTTTAACAGCGCTCAAAGAAAAAAGTATTTTAGCAAGTTTATTTAAATAAAAAAACTTGATTAACAATTTTTCTACTACTATGCTTTGATTGTTTACATAAATTTTATACTTAATGTCATGAAACAGAAAATAAATGCTATACCTTTGTGTGTAATATGTTTACTTCAAAAATCCATATTTCTCAAAATATAACATTAGCGTGTGCAAAATTTATTTGTCCGAAACAAAAAGAATATCTTTAATCTTTTGCGTTTGCAATTAATTCAAAGGCAAGCATGTCCAACCCGTTCAAAATAAACAACGTCTAAGTATTTATAAAAATAATTTTAGATAAAAACAACAAATTTGTTTCTTTAAAAAAATTTTTATATAGACTACGTGTTACGCTCGTTATTCCTACATATGGAACAAATAACAATTGACGTGCTATGCGCGTTATTCTCGCGTAAAAGATAAGAAACAATATTAAACCCGAGAAAAATTGGTATAATTGGTCAGATATAAATATATATAATTAGTTATGAAAAGATCCCATAATATATGTAATTTTATATGATCATATAAAATATTACTTGTTATCAGATTTTTTCATAATTAATTATATATATTGTATTTACATCTGAGCATATTATATCATTTTTTGAGGGGAGTTATGGTCGTACGTACAAATTTTAAAAAATTTAAAAATTATAAAAATTACGCATGTTCGCAGAAAAAATTTTTTAAAAAACAAATTGTTATAAAATAAAGACTGTACGTATAACAATAAAACATACTGTTAAAAATAATTTGATAAAAATTATAAATTAATTAGACCAAAACTGACTGGAATATGTGGCACATTAGTTTCATAAATTAAATTTTGAGAAAAACGCGATTAAAATTTTAGGGCGGGTTATTACCTCAACTTTCTGATAGACTTTAGAAACAAACATCAATAAATATCAGTTACTGTTGCATCAATATATATATCAGTAATTTGTTGATAATGATCACTTACAGTTTAAATTCTTATTATCAAGAAGTAATTTTACTCGTTATTTCAACCATCGAATAAGGATTTCTGATATTTATTTTGGATAACCGTGAGGTAAAGTCTATCAAAAAATTAGTATAATCAAAAATTGTCAGACCGTACTTAACATTAAAAAGATATGTAACGATGTTAAATATTCTCCAAATAATCTATAGATTCGCATCATTACTTAATAATTGCGTAAACATTGCTAAATAAATACAATTCAGTAATTATTTTATATATTTCAGTTTGTACTTTAAAAGTTGTATTTTTACATTTTTAATTTTTAATTTTTTAATGGTATAAGTATATATATGGTATATATATATATATATATATATATATATATATATATATATATATATATATATATATTATTATTATTATTATATATATATATAGATGTATGTATATATTTACTTATTTATTTATTATAATAAAAATAAATTATATTTGTTTAATCTTCTGATTCAAATTATATTATAATTATAACATTTAAAATCATCAACCAATTAAAAGGTGACTGCTGTCTATCATTATTCCCACATGCGCGAGAATTTAATACGTAGAGTTTGTTGTTACATATACATATGGCGCGAGTCTGGTATTAGCAGTCTACAGTATAAATGTCTATGATCATGCCAGTGTACCGTTTTAGAAACTGTGATTCTATGTTTTAGTGTTGCGTTCAGTGATGTGCATTCAGTATATGTTTTTCCTAGACATTTTATCTCCTAGACGGACGAAATATTGCTAATAATTTTCAATTTATGTGATGTATTCAAGCAACATCGAGTCGACTGTTAGTCGACTATAAGCCGGCAGAAAAAGCTTACAGTCGATTGTAAGTTTTGACTTATTGCCGACTTATAGTCGACTAATAGTCGGCAAATGTCCCGATAATTGCCGGCTTTTAGACAGCCAGTGTAGTCTGCTCTTAGTCTACTGTTTCTCGGCGACTTTCAGTCGACTTACTTGCCGATTGCCAGTCAACTTTAACTGCCGACTCTCAGTCGGCTTCAAGTCGGCTTTTAGTCAATTTTACGTCTTAATTGTAATTATTATTGATTTTTCATTGAATATATTGACATCTCAGCTAAAACACTAAATGTAAACGTTACCAAATAGTAAATAATTATTTTTTTATTTAATTAGTTGACCATTTGGTGTTTTTGACACTTTGTGTTTTAGCTGGGATGTCAATATATTCAATGAAAATTCAGTAATAATTACAGCCGACATAAAATTGATTAAAAGCTGACTTCAAGTTGACTGATAGCCGGCATGGAGATTTACTCGGAAACACACGAAATTCACACCCATCGGAATCGAATAAGAATTAAGAATAATGGCATCAAGAGTGAGGAGTATATAGGTTATAGATTGCAGGACTGCAGCAGTTAGCATCAAGTCGACTGTGACAGTCGGCAGATAGTTGACTGGAAAAAGTCGACTCACAGTCAACAAACAGTCACTATTGTTGCTTGGGGTATATACTTTATTACAGCTCAACAGTGTATGCAAAAAATTTTACGAAATATTAAAAGAGGTGTTCGATAAAAAGTAACCATTTGCTTGTTACGAATCAGATATATATTATATATTTATATCAGATATAATTAATATATTTCATGATTGACGGATCAGAGCAAGATATATTGAATTATTCAGAGAGTTTGTAGAATTATTTTATAACTGAATTGATAACAATTTTTATATGGTTATATATCTTTATTTAGTAATGAATGCACAAGATGTTAAAGTTGGCCAAAAGTTGTCGAAAACAACGGTGCATATATTATTGAACAAAAATAACTTGAAACATATAAAAATTGTTTTCAATTTTATTATAAAAATTATTACAATCTTTCGAAATAAAGCAATATATTTTTATCCTAAATAATGTATTTATGTCTGTTTATACATTTAAATGTTTTAAACAGGCAAGATACATGTTCTGAGATCCAGGCGCCGCGGAAGTATTTTTCATCTGAGGAAGCAAAATTTATAAAGAGGGACATAATACATTTATAATATGTATATGTATAATATATGTATGTAACTTCATTCAAACATCATATAATAGGGCGGGTAGTATAGTAAATGTTCAGTGGGTGGTATAAATGTACGAAAATTATGAATAGATGTTTTGTTCTAATTAATTTAATAAACTTTATTTTTTTCATTGTGTAGTGTACTTCAATTGAACGAGTAAATAATCAAAAAAAAAAAAGAAAGAAAAGAAAAGAAAAATAACCCATTTTTCCACTTTTGATGTAAATATTTGATACTAAATATTTTTGGTTATAAAATATCTGAAGGAAACAGAGAAATTTCTGGGTGGGGGCTACACCCCCCCGAATTATCTCTGGTTGAGCGGTCGCCTCCACTGCCTCTACCCGGTTTCACGGCGCTTGTTAAGATCTGAATAAGCGTATTACTCGTTAATTATATGTATAATACTGAAACATACAATAAATTAGTTATAAAACGTTTCACGTAAGGAGACTCGCATTTTTTGTGAACTGTCGTTGCTGCGGATCGGCGAGAAAGAATCGTCAAGCAGAGGATTTGAAATTCCGAAAATGTGTAGGTAAATCTGAGGGGACAACACTGTGTAATAATTATTTGGAATTATCAATATGGAATCACCATGTATTATTTAAAAATTTACCGTTAAGAAGCGGAGATAATTACAGTCATAATTAGTACTTTTAACACATGTTGCGTATACCATACTATGGTCGATATATTTTTAATTTTATTTTAAAAACTACATTTAAGATTTTAATAAAAAATAATATAAGTATGCAGAAAACAAACATATAAATATTACAAAAAGCAACATATTTTTACTTTTTAATTTCAATAATATATTCGTAAGAGGTATATGATTTTTTATATATTTCGAGGTATAAAAAATTTGAATATGTAAATTACTGTATTCTAAGTCTTACATGTGTAGGTACGTAGTATGGACAAACCCAACCAAAAGTCTAGCAAGCGTAAGAAACTAATTTATTAACAATTTTTAAACTATTATTAAACTTTTGATTGATCCTTTTCAGTAATAAATTGTTCGTATAAATTAAATAATGGATAATGATATATCTAAACTTTATTATTTGAGTTTTTTTTTATGAAAGATTTAACTTTTAGATTGTATTGTCACGAGACAACTACCTTAAATAATATCTGAACAATTCGCAAATTTAGTTTAGAACAATAATTTCACAATGTCTTTCTGACTGCAAATAACATATAAAACGAGCTGTTTAATTATTATTTTTCAAATAATTATTTATTTAGAATTAACTGTCTAATATGTATATCCTGTTTGAAATAAGTTATAATCCGACTCAAATTGGCAAAATGTTTTGCATCCAAATGGACAGTAGGAACGAGCATTTCTTATAATATAGATCACGAGATCCTTTATCTTCTTATCGTATGCTTTATTATATCCTTATTATATTTAATATTGTTTTTTTCATTATTAACCGACTTTTTTACTTTGTTCTTCGGATTATTGAAAATAGTTTTTTTATTGTTAGTAAGCGTTGGCAAATAGCATCCGCATTTTCATTATTTTACTAATGCATTTCTACATTATATATGCTATTACAGATGTAGGGTAAGAAAACTAGTTAGTTTTGGCTTACTGATAAAATAAAAATTTATTACTTTCTCCGAAAACACATCGAATAAACGATACAATTTTCAAGGTGTATAAACAATCGTAAAGATAATTAATTACTGCTAAAGATTAAGAAACAGATAAAGAATCTTATCCTGTAACCCGCTAATACCCAAGAAGCACTGCGCGAATCACTAATTCACCCAGACTTGTTCTGTTATTGTCTTCTAATCTCCTATACTCTTCTTCTTTTTCTTTCAAATATGCTTGCAATTCTTTTACATGGTTCACATAATTTTCCCATACTTTATCATTTACATGATAGTCTTCTCTCTTTACATCCATTATCTCAGTATCGTTTTCCTTTTTTTGTATGTGGCTCGTAGGTTCCCTTTCTTTGTCGTTACTTTTACCTTTAGTTGCATGTTCTGGTTTCTTCCTTGTTGCTCTCCGGAAGCCTAGAGTAATGCAAGTGCTGAATTATGTATTTATTGCTTATATAAATATGTAGATACTTTATTGGCAATGTTTATGCACTTTAAAAACCTACCTCTATAAAACGGTAAAAATAGATATACTTCTTTTGGTACTTCATTACGGTACCGCGAGGACGGATATTCAATTGGAAACAATAGATTTATCGGTGACCGAGATTTCCGTTGACTCACAGAATTGCCTGCGTTAATACATTTAAATTAAGTTAAATTTTTTTTTAAATGAATAACATGTAGAAACTATTTATTCTATTTATATTGTATTTTAAAAGGTAATGTAAAATTAATGAAATGTAGTGTGACCTCTGAAATATTATACAGAAGTTACTCCTCAACTACTTTCTTTGCAAGGAAAATATTACACAGTTGTTACTATGTTGTTATTATGTTTTCTAAGGATGCATTATAGTAGCACTTAATGTTTTGTTAAATAAACAATTTAGTTTGTACAATGTAAGAGCTCATAATTAATTTAAAAAAAAAACTTATACTTAATTTAAAAAATAAAGAGATGCTCATAGTTAATTAAATGTGACAGTTTAATTTAATAGTTTGATAATAACGGGACATTAAAATAAGAAAGCCGTTATTTGAAGAAAGAAATTATCGAGAACAGCTCAACTAATTATTCGTATTAAATTGATTAATTTATTGAGTACTAATTAATAAAGTTATAATAAAGTTGAAAACACATAAATATCATTGGTCAATTGTAGATATATTAAAATTTTGGATTTTCTTTTTTTGAAGATCTTTGGAATTTTAATTTAGAGATTTCATGTATGCATTTTGTATAGTAGAAATATTATTCACATTTTTAATACAAGAAAGACATATTGGACTGACACACGCAAATAATTACAAGCATTTTCGTTTTTAATATACTTCGAGAAACAACATTTCGTGAAGACATTACTATTTTAATTTATCAACGCGGTCACACAAATCAAACAAACAAATCAAATAGTTAAGCGAAATTGATCATTTATCTATTGATCGCAATCTGTTCATCTAAGATATATCAAAATTGCTTAGTGTTTTATGTAGTTATCAGTATGATTTACAATATTCATTGATTTAAATAAACATATTTTTTGACATAATAATATTTCTGCTCTGCCGCAACATTGTTCGAAGTCTCCTTTGATGTATTTTGTTTTGCATTATCTAATTATTATTTTTAATAACTATGTAAATTTTTATTTTTGCAAATAATGTATAAATACCAATACAAATTACACATTGCTTTATATCGATGCGACAAGTAATATAATTATTATTAATTCAACACATTCGTTTTATTTCTTTTATTGTATAAAAAATTGATAATTAACAATAACAGTGAAAGAAAAATAAATTATGATATATGTTAACTTTACCTGTTACTTGTATGCATTGCCAAATGGCAATTGTCATCAGCAACAAAAACCACTTCATGATTTCTTGAATGCACTAGACGTTTTGGGTGACGGACGAATCTTCAACTCTGCAAGCAAGTAGACTCTTCAGTACCATAATTCTGATTTGAAATTGTAAGACAGTTTTCTGTTTGCAATTTAATTTAAACGGCTGGACAGAATAAAATTTTATTTAAAAGAACAAACGGTTCGACTACTTTTTGAAAGAGGCCGTAACGTCCTCGGTTCGACCTTTCGTACCAACGATAGAGTAAATGATAATTACTTCCGACTCGAGATTATCAATCAAAAATGACGTGTTACAAGCAATTAGTAGTAATACTATTTAAAAAAAAATAACTGGGTTTAATTACGTCTCAGGTTTATACTTACAATTAATACAGAATTCGCTTAAGATATACTCTCGGTGACTCCCCCCACCTGCCCCCGCCACGCGATTTGATACCGACTGTCTTTTTGATTGCACGTCTATTCGGCTCCACAGCTCGTTAGACAGTGTCTATTCCGCTTGTTCGATTAAGAAACGAGCTTTTGGCTAACGTTCTCGCATGTTCGAGAAACGTCTAAATATCCGTGTTGACTGTGCAGGATCGCGCTCGCGCAGAATCGATCTTACTCGATTCTATCATATTTTCAGGGAGCCAGTAACTGCCACCGTCTGTTCGTCGAAATTAGTTATATCTTACAAAATAAACTTCTTTACGGGATGTTCGACCTATATACGATTCTAAACAACGAATTCGTTAGACTGATAGCTTTATCTTTTCATTTATGCTCTGCAGACATTCGAAGGACCATGTTCATGTGCTGCGTAAAGCGCTCTACGCTACACACGAACATGGCCCCTCGATTGTGTGCGTAAAAACCTGAGACAAAAATTTGTAATGCTGCTATACTCATGATTATAAACATTTCAACCATATGGCAAACTTATTAAAACAACTTCAATAATTTTATCACTTAGAAAAAAAACCAGAATGATATTTTACGATTATTATAAATTATATATAAATATTTAATATTGTTTTTTTCATTATTAATCGGCTTTTCCACTTTGTTCTTCGGATTATTGAAGATTTTTTCCTTATTGTTAGTAGGCGTTTGCAAATTGCACGCAAATAGCATTTTCGTTATTTTACTAATGCATTTATATATGTATATGCTATTACAGTTGTAGAGTAAGAAAACTAGTTAGTTTTGGTTTACTGTTAAAATAAAAATTTATTTTTTTCTCCAAAAATACATCAAATGTACGATACAATATTGAAGGTGTATAAACAATCGTGAATTTTTCCTGATCTTTTGTTTTTTTATTGTTTTTTATTCTGTCATACTCTCCTAATTTTTCTTTTAAATATGCTCGCAATTCTTTTACAAGGTTTACATGAGTTTCCCATACTTCATCATTTTCATGATAGATTTCTCTTTTTACTCCCATTATCTCAGTATCGATTTCCCTTTTTCGTATGTGGCTCGCAGGTTTACCTTCTTTGTCATTACTTTTACTTTTAGTTGCATGTTCTGGTTCCTTCTTTGTTGCTCTCCAGAAGCCTAGAGTAAAACAAGTGCTGTATTATATATTTATTACTTTTATAAATATGTAGATACAGTATTGGCAATGTTTATGCACTTTAAGAACCTACCTCTATAAAACGGTAAAAATGGATATACTTTTTTTGGGACTTTATCACGGTACCGCGAGGACGGATATTCAATTGGAAACAATGGATTTATCGGTGACCGAGGTTTCCGTTGACTCATAGAATTGTCTACGTTAATATAATTAAATTAAGTTAAATTTATTTTGAAATAAATAACATATAGAAAATATTTATCCTACTTATATTTAAAAAGATAATGTAAAATTAATGAAATGTAGTGTGACCTCTAAAATATTATACAGAGGTTACTCTTCAGGTACTTCCTTTGAAAGAAAATTATATCAGTTGTTATTATTATGTTTTGTAAGGATGCATTATAATAGCACTTAACTGTTTTGTTAAATAAACGATTTACGTTCTTTTGTACAATATAAAAGCTCATAGTTAATTAAAAAATTAACTCATATCTAATTAAAAAAATAAATAAATGTTTATAGTTAATTAAATGTGACAGTTTAATTTAATAGTTTAATAATAACGGAACATTAAAATAAGAATGCCGTTATTTGAAGAAAGAGTTTATCGAGAACAGCTCAACTAATTGTTCGTAATAATTTTATTAATTTACTCAGTACTAATTAATAAAATTATAATAAAGTTGAAAACAAATAAATATCATTTGTCAATTGTAGATATATTAAAATTTTACATTTTTTTTTTTGAAGATGCTCAAAACTTTGACTTAAAGATTTTATGTATATCTGCGTGTCTTTCATGCATATTTTATGTAGTAAAAATATTATTCATATTTTTAATATAAAAAAAAGACATTGGACTGACACACACAAATAATTAAAGTATAATTAAAAATATTTTAAACTTTGTTGGCAGTTTTAAAACTTACTTGTATTAATCGACGAAAAAGTATTTAATTTTTGTGCATCACGGTTCGGTAAAAACGTATATTCAAACGGAAACCATGCCGATAAAGGTGTCCGACTTTTCCGTTGACTCACAGAATTGCCTGCGTTAATATATTTGAATTAAGTTAAATTTATTTTAAAATAAATAACAAATAAAAAATATTTATTCTATTTATATTTAAAAAGATAATGTAAAATTAATGAAATGTAGTGTGACCTCTGAAGTATTATACAGAGGTTACTCTTCAGGTACTCCTTTTGAAGGAAAATTATATCAGTTGTTATTATTATGTTTTGTAAGGATGCATTATAATAGCACTTAACTGTTTTGTTAAATAAACGATTTACGTTTTTTTGTACAATATAAGAGCTGATAATTAATTAAAAAAATAACTCATATTAATTTAAAAAAATAACTCATACTTAATTAAAAAAATAAAAAAATGCTTATAGTTAATTAAATGTGACAGTTTAATTTAATAGTTTAATAATAACGGGGCATTAAAATAAGAAAGCCGTCATTTGAAAAAAGTACTCATCAAGAACAGCTCAACTAATTACTGGTATTAATCTTATTAATTTACTCAGTACTAATTAATGAAATTATAATAAAATTGAAAATAAATAAACATCATTTGTCAATTATAGATATACTAAAATTTTGCATTTTTTTTTTTGAAAATCGTTGGAATTTTTAATTGCAGATTTTATGAATGTATATTTTGTATAGTAGAAAAATTAATCACATTTTTAATAGAAGAAAGACATATCGGACTAACACCCGCAAATAATTAAAAGTATTTTCTTATAATATTTCTTGAGAAACATTAGTTCTGAAGACATTACTATTTTAATTTATCAATGCGGTCATATAAATCAAGGAAACAAATTAAATTTTTATGCGCAATTGATCATTTATCTATTGATCGCAATCTGTTCATTTACGGTATATCAAAAATTTCATAGTGTTCTATGGAATTATCAGTATGATTCACAATATTCATTTATTTAAATAAATACATTATTTAACATAATAATATTGCTGCTCTGCCGTAACACCGTTCAACGTCTCCTTTGATGTAATTTCTTTTGCATTGATTAATTATTATTATCAATAGCTATGTAAATTATTATTTCTGCAAATAATGTATAAATACTAATACAAACTATAAATTGCTTTAGTATATCAATGCAACAATTGATATAATTATTATTGATTCAACGTATTTATTTCATTTCTATTATTGTATAAAAAACTGATCATTAACAGTAAAAGAAAAATAAATTATGATATGTGTTAACTTTACCTGTTACTTGTGTGCATTGCCAAATGGCAATTGTTATCAGAAACAACAACCACTTCATGGTTTCTTGAATGCACTAAGCGTTTTGAATGACGGACGAGTCTTCATCTCTGCAAGCAAGTAGACCCTTCGGTATCGAAATTCTGACTTAAAATTGTAAGACAGTTCTTTGTTTGCAATTTAATTTAAACGGCTTGACAGAATAAAATTTTATGTAAAAGAACAAACGGTTCGACCACTTTTTGAAAGAGGCCGTTACGTCCTCGGCTCGACCTTCCGTACCAACGGTAGAGTAAACGATAATTACTCCCGACTCGAGATTATCGATCAGGAATGACGGGTTGAGAGCAATTAGTAGTAATACTATTTTAAAAAAATAACTGTGTATAATTACGTTTCAGGTTTATACTTACAATTAATACATAATTTGCTTAAGATAAACCCTCGGCGACCGCCCCACGATTCAATACTGACTGTCTTTTTGGTTGCACGTCTACTCGGCTCGACTGCTTGTTAGACAGTGTTTATTTGGCTTGTTTGTTTGAGAAACGAGATTTTGGCGAACGTTCTCGCATGTTCGAAAGACGTCTAAATATCCGGGTTGATTGCGCGGGATCGCGCTCGCGCAGAATCGATCTTAGTCGAATCTATCATATTTTGAGGCAGCCAGTAACTGGCGCCGTCTGTTGGTCGAAATCGGTAATATCTTACAAAATAAACTTCTTTACGGGATGTTCGACCTATATACGATTCTAAACAAAGAAATCGTTAAACTGATAGTTTTATCTTTTTATTTGTACTCTACCTGCATCAGTTTGTATTCCAGCGTTATCAATTCTCTTTATGGGTTTCAACGCACCAATCAAACGATAATGTTCATGTGCTGCCTAAAGCGTTCTACACTCAAAAAAATGATCTTGCAATAATAGCTAAAATTTTCTAGGTGTAAAAAATTAACTAAAACAGATAAATGATTAGCAACTGTTGTGATATTGCATATGTAATTACTTAATCAGTTTAGATGACAGAAACAGAATATATATCTGTATTGTTTGTGAACTTTAAAAAGAAAGTTTCTCTAAAGCGCCTATCTATATAAGATCAATCACGTGTTAAATCATGCAATGAATAACATTTAGCAATGGTACCTAAATTTTTCAGAAGCTATTGCTAGAACATTACTGCTATAAATTCTATATGTGACAAACAATGTTTTCACAGATACGAAAAATAGCGATACATTCTTGTTGCGATATCTAGAAATCTAACTACATCAGCGAAATATTTTTTTGAGTGTACGGAGCACATGGACATGGTCCCTCGATTGTGTGCGTGAAAGTCTAGGGCAATAATTTGTAACGTTGCTGTACTTGTTATTATAAACATTCCAACCATATGTCAAACTTGTTAAAATAACTTCAATATTTTTATCACTTAGATAGAAAACTAGAATGATATTTTACGACTATGGAATTTTTGAAACGCTTAAAAGATTTTTGTAAAGATTGGCAAGATAAATGTACGATAATGTTCTATCTCGCTGTGCCCTGAGAAAACGTGTACTTATGAATTATATGTTGAAATGAATTATATGAGAAGCCTACAATAAATTAATTACGAAACGTTTGACGTAAGGAAACTTGTATTTTTATTGTGAACTCTCGTTGCTGCGGTTATCAGCGACAAAGAATTGCCAAGCAATAGTTCTGAAATTCCGCAAATGTTTAGGTATGGCTGTGAGGACAACTTTGCGTAATAATTATTTGGAATTATTAATATGCAATCGCGAGCTAAGTACCAAACATATATACGCAGACACAGTAAAAATTAAAAATTGTTTAAGGTAGTTGTCTCATAAAATAAGTTGCTTAAAAATTTATCCAAACTTTCATTATTCTTATTAAAGTAATATCTAAGTAATTCTGCAACAAAACAACTTACCGTTTCGAAGCGGAGATAATTACAGTCGTAATTAGTACTTTTAGCACGTGTTGCATATATTATACTATGCTTAACATATTTTTAATTTTGAAAACCACATTTAAAATTTTAATTAAAAATAATGAGCATGCAGAAAACAAACATATGAGCATTACAAAAACACAGCATATTCACCGTTTTATTTCAATAATATAATCGTAAGAGCTATATAATTTTTGATATTTTTCGAGGTATAAAAAACTCGAAGATGTAAATCACAATATTAAAGTCTTACATGTGTAGTTACATAGTATGGACGAGCCCAACCAAAAGTCTACTTTAGCAAGTGTAAGAAATTAATTTAATAATTATTTTTAAATTATTATTAAACTTTTGATTGATTTTTTTAATTAATTGTTCTTATAAATTAAATAATACGTAATGATATATCTAAACTTTATTATTTGAGTTTTTTTATTGATAGATTAAACTTCTAGATCGAATTGTCACGAAACAACTACTTTAAATAATAGCTGAACAATTCGCAAATTAAGTTCAAAGGAATAATTTCATAATATATTTCTGACTGTAAGTAACATACAAAACGAACTTCTTAATTATTATTTTTGAAATAATTATTTATTTAAAATTAACTGTCTAATATGAATATCTTGTTTGAAATAAGTTATAATCCGACTCAAATTGGCAAAATGTTTTGCATTCAAATGGACAGTAGGGACAGGCATTTCTTACAATATATTTCACGAAATTTTTTATCTTCTTATCATATGCTTTATTATATCTTTATTATATTTAATATTGTTTTCTTTTTTTATTAATCGGCTCTTCAACTTTGTTCTTCGGATTATTGAAGATTGGTTTTTATTGCTAGTAGGCGTTGGGAAAGTAGCATTCACATTTTTATTATTTTATTAATGCATTTATATATATGCTATTACTGATGTAGAATAAGAAAACTAGTTAGTTCTGGCTTACTGTTGGTATAAAAATTTATTTCATTCTCCAAAAACACATCAAATGTACGAAACAATTTCTAAGGTGTATAAAAAATTGTAAAAATAATTAATTACTGTTAGAGATTAAAAAACAGATAAAGAATTTTATCCTCTACCCCAATAATACAGGAAAGGCAATACGCGACTCGGATTATTTTTCCGGATCTTTTGTTTTTTTACTGTTTTTTAATTTCTTAATCTCTTCTTCTTTTTCATTCAAATATGCTACCACTTCTGTTATACGGTTCACAAAAATTTTCCATATTTCATCAATTACATGATAGTCTTCTCTTTTTACTCCCATTATCTCAGTAACGATTTCCCTTTTTCGTATGTAGCTCGTAGGTTTACCCTCTTTGTCATTACTATTACTTTTAGTTGCATGTTCTGGTTCGTTCTTTGTTGCACTCCGCAAGCCTAGAGTAAAACAAGTGCTGAATTATATATTTATTACTTATATAAATATGTAGATACTTTATTGGTAATGTTTATGCACTTTAAGAACCTACCTCTATAAAACGGTAAAAATGGATATACTTCTTTTGATACTTCATCACGGTACCGCGAGGACGGATATTCAAGTGAAAACAATGGATTTATCGGTGATCGAGGTTTCCGTTGACTCACAGAACTGCCTGCGTTAATATATTTAAATTAAGTTAAATTTATTTATTAAGTTAAATTAAGTTAAATTTATTAAGTTAAATTTATTTTTAAATAAATAACATATAGAAAATTTTTAATCTATTTATATTTAAGAAGATAAAGTAAAATTAATGAAATGTAGTGTGACGTTCGAAATATTATACAGAGGTCACTCCTCAGGTACTTCCTTCGTAAGGAAAATATTACACAGTTGTTACTATTATGTTTTGCAAGGTTGCATTATAGTAGCACTTAATATTTTTTTAAATTAACGATTTAGTTTGTACAATATAAGAGTTTATAGTAATTTAAAAAAAAACTCATAGTTAATTCAAAAAAATAAAAAGATATTCATAGTAAATTAAATGTGACAGTTTAATTTAATAGTTTAATAATAACGGGACATTAAAATAAGAAAGCCGTCATTTGAAAAAAGTACTCATCGAGAACAGCTCAACTAATTATTCGCATTAATTTTATTAATTTACTCAGTACTAATTAATGAAGTTATAATAAAGTTGAATGCAAATAAACATCATTTGTCAATTGTAGTATATTAAAATTTTGCATTTTCTTTTTTTGAAGATTTTCGGAATTTTAACTTAATGATTTCATGAATGCATATTTTGTATAGTAGAAATATTATTTACATTTTTAATACAAGAAAAACACATTGGACTGACACACACAAATAATTAGAAGTATTTTCTTATAATATCTCTCGAAAAACATTAGTCGTGAAAACATTACTATTTTAATTTATCAACGCGGTCATATAAATCAAGGAAACAAATTAAATTTTTATGCGCAATTAATCATTTATCTATTGATCGCAATCTATTTATCTAAGGTATATCAAAATTGCATAGCGTTCTATGCAGTTATCAGTATGATTTACAATATTCATTCATTTAAATGAACACATTATTTGATTTAATAATATTGCTGCTATGCCGTAACACCGTTTGAGGTCTCCTTTGATGTAATTTCTTTGCATTAACTAATTATTATTACTAATAACTATGTAAATTTTTATTTTTGCAAATAATGTATAGATACTAATTCAAACTATAAATTGCTTTAGTATATCGATGCGACAAGTGATATAATTATTATTGATTCAACGCATTCGTTTTATTTCTATTATTGTATAAAAAACTGATCATTAACAGTAAAAGAAAAATAAATTATGATATATGTTAACTTTACCTGTTACTTGTATGCATTGCCAAATGGCAATTGTCATCAGGAACAAAAACCACTTCATGATTTCTTGAATGCACAGGGCGTTTTGAATGACGGACGAATCTTCAACTCTGCAAGCAAGTAAATTTTTCGGTACCATAATTCTAATTTAAAATTGTAAGACAGTTCTCTGTTTGCAATTTAAAACGGCTTAACAGAATAAAATTTTATTTAAAAGAACAAACAGTCGACTACTTTTTGAAAGAGGACGTTACGTCCTCGGCTCGACCTTCTGTACCAGCGATAAAATAAACGATAATTACTCGCGACTCGAGATGATCGATCAGAAATGACAAGTTAAGAGCAATAAATACTAATGCTATTTAAAAAAAAATAATTGGGTATAATTGCGTTTCAAGCTTATACTTACAATTAATACAGAATTTGCTTAAGATAAACCCTCGGCGACCGCCCCACGATTCGATACTGACTGTCTTTTTGGTTGCACGTCTACTCGGCTCGACTGCTCGTTAGACAATGTTTATTTGGCTTGTTCGTTTGAGAAACGAGCTTTTGGCGAACGTTCTCGCATGTTCAAGAGACGTCTAAATATCCGGGTTGATTGCGCGGGATCGCGCTCGCGCAGAATCGATCTTAATCGAATCTATCATATTTTCAGGCAGCCAGTAACTGGCGCCGTCTGTTGGTCAAAATTGGTAATATCTTACAAAATAAACTTCTTTACGATATGTTCGATTTATATACGATTTTAAACAAAGAAATCGTTAAACTGATAGTTTTATCTTTTTATTTGTACTCTATCTGCATCAGTTTGTATTCCAGCGTTATCAATTCTCTTTCTGGGTTTCCACGCAGCAATCAATGGAGCATGTTCATGTGCTACGTAAAGCGTTCTACGGTGCACATGCACATGGTCTTTCGATTGTGTGCGTGAAAATCTAGGCCAATAATTTGTAACGTTCCTGTACTTGTTATTATAAACATTCCAACCATATGGCAAACCTATTAAAAAAACTTTGATATTTTTATCACTTAGAGAAAAAATTAAAATAATATTTTACGACTATGGAATATTTGAAACGCTTAAAAGATTTTTGTAAAGATTGGCAAGATAAATGTACGATAATGTTCTATCTGCTATGCCTTGAGAAAGCGTGTACTTGTAAATTATATGTTGAAATGAATTATATGACAAACCTACAATAAATTAATTACGAAACGTTTCACCTAAGGAAACTCGTATTTTTATTGTGAACTCTCGTTGCTGTGGTTATCAGCGACAAAGAATGGCCAAGCAAAAGTTCTGTAATTTCGCAAATGTTTAGGTATGGCTGTGAGAACAACTCTGCGTAATAATTATTTGGAATTATTAATATGCAATCGCGAGCTAAGTACCATACATATATACGCAGACACAGTAAAAATTAAAAATTGTTTAAGGTAGTTGTCTCATAAAATAATTTTCTTAAAAATTTATCCAAATTTTCATTATTTTTATTGAAGTAATATCTAAGTAATTCTGCAACAAAACAACTTACCGTCTCGAAGCGGAGATAATTACAGTCTTAATTAGTACTTTTAGCACGTGTTGCATATATTATACTATAGTTAACATATTTTTAATTTTGAAAACCACATTTCAAACTTTTATAAAAATAATGAGCATGCAGAAAACAAACATATGAGCATTACAAAAAAACAGCATATTCACCGTTTTATTTCAATAATATAATCGTAAGAGCTATATGATTTTTGATATTTTTTAAGGTATAAAAAACTCGAAGATGCAAATCATAATATGCAAGTCTTACATGTGTAGTTACATAGTATGGACAAGCCCAATCAAAAGTTTACTCTAGCAAGTGTAAGAAATTAATTTATTAACTATTTTTGAATTATTATTAAACTTTTGATTGATCCTTTTAATAAATTGTTCTTATAAATTAAATAATACGTAATGATATATCTATACTTTATTATTTGAGTTTTTTTATTGATAGATTAAATTTTTAGATTGTATTGTCGCGAGACAACTACCTTAAATAATAGCTGAACAATTCGCAAATTTAGTCAAAATAATAATTTTATATCGTTTTTCTGACCATAAGTCTTTTTCATTAATAGTAATATATAAAACGAGCATTTTAATAATTATTTTAGAAACAATTGTTTATAATTAACTGTCTAAAATGTAGATTTTGTTTGACGCAAATTGTAGTTCCAACTTGCAAAACGTTAAGTAGCCAAATAGATGGTAGAAAACGGATTTTTTTTTCAATGTATTTGACTAGACTAGTATTTGACTCTTGTATCTTCTTATCAAATGTTTTATTATATTTTTTATTACATATATTAAATATTGTTTTTTTCATTATTAATCGACTTTTCCACTTTGTTCTTCGGATTATTGAAGATTTTTTTCTTATTGTTAGTAGGCGTTGGCAAAATAGCACCCGCATTTGCGTTATTTTATTAATGCATTTATATATATGCTATTACAGATGTAGAGTAAGAAAACTAGTCAGTTGTGGCTTACTGTTAGAATAAAAATTTCTTTCTTTCTTTAAAAACACATCGAATGTACGATACAATTTTTAAGATGTATAAACAATCGAAGATAATTGAACATTGTTAGAGATAAAGAATCTTATCCTTTACTCCAAAAATACCAATAATACATGAAAGGCAATGCGAATCTTGGTAATTCTTTCTTATCTTTTGTTTTCTCATTATTTTCTAATTTGTTATACCGATCTTCTATTCTGTTTTTGTTTTCACGTTTAGTTGTAGTTTCTAGATTATTCTGAATTGATGATGTTGTAACATCTTCAACACTATATATCTTTTTGAATAATCCTTTTACTATTTCAATATCTTTTGTTTTTTCATTGTTTTCTGATTTGTTATACCGATCTTCTATTCTGTTTTCATTTTTATATTGAGTTGTATCTTCTAGATTATTCTGAACAGGTGCTATTCTAACATCTTCAACACTATTTATCTCCGTGATTAATTTTTTTTTTATTTTAACATTGATTTTGCTTAATGGTTTGTGAGTCGAAGGTTTCTCTTCTTCGTCGTTACTTTTACCTTTAGTTGCATATTCTGGTTTCTTTGTTGTTGTTTTCCACACCCCCATAGTAAAACAAGTGCTGAATTATGTGTATATTGCTTAGATAAATATAGATGCTTAGATGAATATAGTACTTTATTGGCATTTTAAGAACCTACTTGTATTAATCGATGAAAAAGGATTTACTTTTGTTGCACGGTTCGGTAAGAACGAATATTCAAACGGAAACCATGCCGATAAAGGTGTCCGACGTTTCCGTTGATTCACAGAATTGCTCGCGTTAATATATTTAAATTAAGTTAAATTTATTTTGAAGCAAATAACATATAGAAAATATTTATTCTATTTATATTTTAAAAGATAATGTAAAATTAATGAAATGTAGTGTGACCTCTGAAATATTATACACAGGTTACTCCTCAAGTACTGCCTTTGCAAGAAAAATATTACACAGTTGTCACTATTTTGTAAGGATACAATATAATAGCATTTAATGTTTTGTTAAATTATAGATTTAGTATGTTCAATATAAAAGCACATAGTTATTTAAAAAAAAAAAACTTTTAATTAATTTTAAAAAATAAAGAAATGTTCATTGTTAATTAAATGTGATAAATTAATTTAATAATTTAATATAAACGAGACATTAAAGTAAGAAAATCGTCATTCGAAGAAAGAGCTCATCGAGAAGAGCTCAACTAAATATTTGTATTAATTTTATTAATTTACTCAGTACTAATTAATAATGTTATAATACAGTTGAAAACAAATAAAAATCATTTGTCAATTGTAGATATATTCTGCATTTTTTTTTTTTTAAAGATCTTTGGAATTTTAATTTGTATATTTTATGTATGCATATTTTATATAGTAGAAATATTATTCACATTTTTAATACAAGAAAGACACATCGGATTGACACATGCAAATACAATAATTATAAGTATTTTCTTATAATACCTTTCGAGAAATATTAGTTGTGAAGATATTACTATTTTAATTTATCAACGCGGTCATTTAAATCAAGAAAACAAATTAAATTTTTATGCGCAATTCATCATTCATTTGTTGATCACAATTTGTTCATTTAAGGTATATCAAAATTGCATAATGTTTTATACAGTTGTACTGTTATCGGTACAATTCACAATATTCATCCATTTAAAAGAATACATTATTTGATATAGTAATATTACTGCTCTGCCGTGAGACCGCTCGAAGTCTCCTTTGATATAATTTTTTTTTGCATTAATTAATAACTGTGTAAATTTTTATTTTTGCAAATAGTTTATAAATAGTATATAAATACTAATACAAATTGCTTTAGTATAGCTATGCGACAAGTGATATAATTATTATTGATTTAGCGCATTCGTTTTATTTCTATTATTGTATAAAAACTGACCAGTAACAATAACAATAAGAAAAAAATAAATTATGACACTAGTGGTTCCTAAAAGCGGTGGCAGGAGGTTTAACCACCTCACCCCTTCCAAGTTAAAAAAAATTAATTGTGCTGTATCCGTTTTAAAAATCTTGGTAAAAAATGCATAAAACAGATCGAAACTTTTCCCATTATCGACATCAGGATCCGATAGTGAATTATGATATATGTTAACTTTACCTGTTACTTGTATTTATTGCCAAATGGCAATTGTCATCAGCAACAAATACCACTTTATGATTTCTTGAATGCACTGGATGACGTTTTGGATGACGGTTCTTCAAGTAGAGTCTGCTAACAACTAGATTTTTCGGTACCATAATTTTGACATAAAATAAACTTCTTTGCGGGATGTTCGACCTATATACGATTCTAAACAAAGAAATTGTTAGACTCGTAGCTTTATCTTTTCACTTGTGCTCTACCTGCATTAGTCTGTATTCCAGCGTTACCAATTCTTGTTCTGGCTTACCACGCAGCCATTCAAAGGACCATGTTCATGTGCTGCGTAAAGTGCTCTGCGCTACACGTGAACATGGTCCCTCGATTGTGTGCGTGAAAACCTAGGACAAAAATTTGTAACGCTGCTGTATTCCTGTTACAAACATTCCAACCATGGCAAACCTATTAAAAAAACTTCGATATTTTTATCACTTAAAAAGAAAACTAAAATAATATTTTACGATTATAAAATTTTTAAAACGCTTAAAAGATTTTTGTAAAGAATGGCAAGATAAATGTACGATAATGTTCTATCTGCTGAGCTTTGAGGAAGCGTGTACTTATAAATTATATATAGAAATGAATTATATGAAAAACCTACAATAAATTAATTACGAATCATTTCACGTAAGAACACTCGTATTTTTTGTGAACTCTTGTTCCTGCGGTTATCGGCGACAAAAAATTGCCAAGCAGAAAGTTTGAAATTTCACAATTGTTTAGGTATGGCTATGAGGATAACTCTGTGTAATAATTATTTGGAATTACCAATAAACAATCGTGAGCTTTGTATTAAACATATATACGCAAGCAAAGCCAAAAATAAAAATTGTTTAAGGTAGTTGTCTAAAGTGAATTTCCTAGAAATTGATTAAAATTTTTATTATATCTATTGAAGTAATATCTAAGTAATACTGCATTAAAAAAATTAACCGTTTAGAAGCGGAGAAAATTACAGTTGTAATTAGTACTTTTAACACGTGTTGCATACACCATACTAAGGTTGACGTCAAATTTTTAATTTTATTTTTAAAATTTTATTTAAGATTTTAATAAAAAGTAATGAGCGTGCGGAAAACAGATGTATCAACATTACAAAATGCAGCATTATTCACCGTTTATATTGAATAATATAATCGTAAGAAGTATATGATTTTTAATATTTTTTAATTATAAAAAGCTCGACGATGTCAAGTCTTACATGTGTAGGTGCGTAGTATTGACAAATTATATCAAAAGTCTACTCTAGCAAGCGTAAGAAATTAATTTATTAACAATTTTTACATTATTACTAAACTTTTGATTGATCCTTTTTAGTAATAAATTGTTCGTATAAATTAAATAATGGATAATGATATATCTAAACTTTATTATTTGAGTCTTTTTTAATGAAAAATTTAACTGCTAGATCGTATTGTTACGAGACAACTATCTTGAATAATAACTGAACAATTCGCCAATTTAGTCAAAGAAGAAATTTCATAATGTATTTTTGACTGTAAGTAATATATAAAACGATCTTCTTAATTATTATTTTTGACTTAATTAATAATTTTTTATTATTTAGACTTAACTATCTAATTATTTAGACTTAACTATCTAATATGTAGATCCTGTTTGAAATAAGTTATAACTCGAATTGGGAAAATGTTTTGCATTCAAATAGACAGTAAAAACAGGCATTTCTTATAATATATTTTACAAGATCCTTTTGCCAATCTTTTTGTCATATGCTTTATTATATCCTTATTATATTTAATATTGTTTTTTTCATTATTAATCGGCTTTTCCACTTTGTTTTTCGGATTGTTGAAGATTTTTTCCTTATTGTTAGTAGGCGTTGGCAAATAGCATGCAAATAGCATTTTTATTATTTAATTAATGCATTTATATATATGCTATTACTGATGTAGAATAAGAAAACTAGTTAGTTCTGGCTTACTGTTGGAATAAAAATTTATTTCTTTCTCTAAAAACACATCAAATGTACGATACAATTTCTAAGGTGTATCAACAATTGTGAAGATAATTAATTACTGTTAGAGATTAAAAAACAGATAAAGAATTTTATCCTCTACCCCAATAATACAGGAAAGGCAATATGCGTCTCGGTAATTCTTCCATTTCTTCCGGATCTTCTGATTTTTCATTGTTTTCTAATGTCTTACACTCTTCTTCTTTTTCATTCAAAAATGCTAGCGATTCTTTTACACGGTTCACAAAAGTTTTCCATACTTCATCATTTACATGATAGTCTTCTCTTTTTACTTCCAGTGTCTCAGTATCGTTTTCCCTTATTTGTATGTGGCTCGTAGGTTTCCTTTCTTTGTCATTACTTTCACCCAGACTTGTTTTGTTATTGTCTTCTAATCTCCTATACTCTTCTTTATTTTCTTTCAAATATGCTAGCAATACTTTTACAAAACAGTTCACAAAAATTTTCAATACTTCATCATTTACATGATAGTCTTCTTTTTTTACTTCCAGTATCTCAGTATTGTTTTCCCTTATTTGTATGTGGCTCGTAGGTTTCCTTTCTTTGTCATTATTTTCACCTTTAGTTGCATGTTCTGGTTCGTTCTTTGTTGCACTCCGCAAGCCTAGAGTAAAACAAGTGCTGAATTAGATATTTATTACTTATATAAATATGTAGATACTTTATTGGCAATGTTTATGCACTTTAAGAACTAACCTCTATAAAACGGTAAAAATGAATATACTTCTTTTGGTACTTCATCACGGTACCACGAGGACGGATATTCAATTGAAAACAATGGATTTATCAGTGATCGAGGTTTGCGTTGACTCACAGAACTGCCTGCGTTATTATATTTAAATTAAGTTAAATTTATTTTTAAATAAATAATATGTAGAAAATTTTCAATCTATTTATATTTAAGAAGATAATGTAAAATTAATGAAATGTAGTGTGACCTTTGAAATATTATACAGAGGTCACTCTTCAGGTACTTCCCTCGCAAGGAAAATATTACACAGTTGTTACTATTATGTTTTGCAAGGTTGCATTATAGTAGCACTTAATATTTTCTTAAATTAACGATTTAGTTTGTACAATATAAGAGTTTATAATAATTTAAAAAAAAACTCATAGTTAATTTAAAAAAATAAAGAGTTGCTCATAGTTAAGTAAATGTGATATTTTAATTTAATAGTTTAATATAAACGAAACATTAAAATAAGAAAGCCGTCATTTGAAAGAAAGGCACATCCAGAAGAACTCAACTAATTATTCGTATTAATTTTATTAATTTACTCAGTTTTAATTAATAAAGTTATACTAAAGTTGAAAACATATAAATATCATTTGTCAATTGTAAGTATATTAAAATTTTGCATTTTCTTTTTTTGAAAATTTTCGGAATTTTAACTTAATGATTTCATATATATTTGCGTGTCTTTCAAGCATATTTTATGTAATAAAATATTATTCAAATTTTTAATATAAGAGAAACACATTGGACTGACACACACAAATAATTTAAAGTATAATAAAAAATATTTTATATTTATTGGCACTTTAAGAACATACTTGTATTAATCGATGAAGAATGATTTACTTTTTGTGCATCACGGTTCGGTAAGAACGAATAGTCGTTCGTACACCCTTCCGAATAAGGTATCGCACGTTTCCGTTGATTCACAGAATTGCCTGCGTTAATATATTTGAATTAAGTTAAATTTTATTTGAAATGAATAACATATAGAAAATATTTATTTTATTTATATCTAACAAGATAATGTAAAATTAATGAAATGTAGTGTGACCTCTAAAATATTATACAGAGGTTACTCTTCAGGTACTCCTTTTGAAGGAAAATTATATCAGTTGTTATTATTATGTTTTGTAAATATGCATTGTAATAGCACTTAACTGTTATGTTAAATAAACGATTTACGTTTTTTTGTACAATATAAGAGCTGATAATTAATTAAAAAAATAACTCATATTTAATTAAAAAAATAACTTACACTTAATTAAAAAAATAAAAAGATGCTCATAGCTAATTAAATGTGACAGTTTAATTTAATAGTTTAATAATAACGGAACATTAAAATAAGAAAGCCGTCATTTGAAGAAAGAACCCATCGAGAACAGCTCAACTAATTATTCGCATTAATTTGATTAATTTACTGAGTACTATAATTAATAAAGTTATAATAAAGTTTAAAACAAATAAATATTATTTGTCAATTGTAGATATATTAAAATTTTGCATTTTCTTTCTTTTTGGAGATCTCTGGAATTTAAATTTGCAGATTTCATGAATGCATATTTTGTATAGTAGAAATATTATTTACATTTTTAATACAAGCAAGACAAATCAGACTGACACACCCAAAATAATTAGAAGTATTTTCTTATAATATCTCTCGAAAAACATTAGTCGTGAAAACATTACTATTTTAATTTATTCAACGCGGTCATATAAATCAAGGAAACAAATTAAATTTTTATGCGCAATTGATCATTTATCTGTTGATTGCAATCTATTCATCTAAGGTATATCAAAATTGCATAGCGTTCTATGCAGTTATCAGTATGATTTACAATATTCATTTATTTAAATGAACACATTATTTGATTTAATAATATTGCTGCTATGCCGTAACACCGTTTGAGGTCTCCTTTGATGTAATTTCTTTGCATTAACTAATTATTATTACTAATAACTATGTAAATTTTTATTTTTGCAAATAATGTATAGATACTAATTCAAACTATAAATTGCTTTAGTATATCGATGCGACAAGTGATATAATTATTATTGATTCAACGCATTCGTTTTATTTCTATTATTGTATAAAAAACTGATCATTAACAGTAAAAAGAAAATAAATTATGATATGTGTTAACTTTACCTGTTACTTGTATGCATTGCCAAATGGCAATTGTCATCAAGAACAAAAACCACTTCATGATTTTTTGAATGCACTAAGCGTTTGAATGACGAACGAATCTTCAACTCTGCAAGCAAGTAAATCTTTCGGTACCATAATTCTAATTTAAAATTGTAAGACAGTTCTCTGTTTGCAATTTAAAACGGCTTAACAGAATAAAATTTTATTTAAAAAAACAAACGGTTGACTACTTTTTGAAAGAGGACGTTACGTCCTCGGCTCGACCTTCTGTACCAGCGATAGAATAAACGATAATTACTCGCGACTCGAGATGATCGATCAGAAATGACAAGTTAAGAGCAATAAATACTAATGCTATTTAAAAAAAAATAATTGGGTATAATTACGTTTCAGGTTTATACTTACAATTAATACAGAATTTGCTTAAAATATACCCTCGGCGACCGCCCCACGATTCAATACTGTCTGTTTTTTAAACACGTCTACTCGGCTCTACTGCTCGTTAGACAGTGTCTATTCGGCTTGTTCATTTGAGAAACGAACTTTTTGCGAACGTTCTCGCATGTTCGAGAGACGTCTAAATATCCGGGTTGATTGCGCGGGATCGCGCTCGCGCAGAATCGATCTTAGTCGAATCTATCATATTTTCAGGCAGCCAGTAACTGGCGCCGTCTGTTGGTCGAAATCGGTAATATCTTACAAAATAAACTTCTTTACGGTATGTTCGATTTATATACGATTTTAAACAAAGAAATTGTTAAACTGATAGTTTTATCTTTTTATTTGTACTCTATCTGCATCAGTTTGTATTCCAGCGTTATTAATTCTCTTTCTGGGTTTCCACGCAGCAATCAAAAAACCATGTTTATGTGCTGCGTAAAGCGTTCTACGGAGCACATGGACATGGTCCCTTGATGTGTGCGTGAAAATCTAGGCCAATAATTTGTAACGTTGCTGTACTTGTTATTATAAACATGTCAACCATATGGCAAACTTGTTAAAACAACTTCAATGTTTTTATCACTTAGATAGAAAACTAGAATGATATTTTACGACTATGAAATTTTTGAAACGCTTAAAAGATTTTTGTAAAAATTGGCAAGATAAATGTACGATAATGTTCTATCTGCTGTCCTGAGAAAGCGTGTACTTATGAATTATATGTTGAAAAGAATTATATGAGAAACCTACAATAAATTAATTACGAAACGTTTGACGTAAGGAAACTCGTGTTTTTATTGTGAACTGCAAAACTTCGGTAAAACCTCGTTGCTGCGGTTATCGGCGACAATGAATCGTCAAGCAGAAGGTCTAAAATTCCGCAAATGTTTAGGTATGACTGTGAGGACAACTCTGCGTAGTAATTATTTGGAATTACTAATATGCAATCGCGAGCTATGTATTTTATTATACATATATACGCAAACACAGCAGAAATCAAAAATTGTTTATGGTAGTTGTCTCATAAAATAAATTTTTTAAAAATTGATCCAAATTTTCATTATTTTTATTGAAGTAATATCTAAGTAATCCTGCAACAAAACAATTTACCGTTTCAAAGCGGAAATAAATTTACAGTCGTAAATAGTATTTTTAACACGTGTTGCATATGTTATACTATGGTTAACATATTTTTAATTTTGAAAACCACATTTAAAACTTTAATAAAAAATAATGAGCATGCAGAAAACAAACATATGAGCATTACAAAAACACAGCATTATTCATCGTTTTATTTTAATAATATAATCGTAAGAGCTATATAATTTTTTATATTTTTTGAGGTTTAAAAAACTTGAAAATGCAAATCACAATATTCAAGTCTTTTATGTGTAGTTACATAGTATGGACGAGCTCAATCAAAAGTCTACTCTAGCAAGTGTAAGAAATTAATTTATTAACTATTTTTGAATTATTAATAAATTTTTGATTGATCTTTTTAATTAATTGTTCTTATAAATTAAATCATACGTAATGATATATCTAAACTTTATTATTTGAGTTTTTTTATTGCTAGATTAAATTTCTAGATCGAATTGTCACGAGACAACTACTTTAAATAATAGCTGAACAATTCGCAAATTAAGTTCAAAGGAATAATTTCATAATGTATTTCTGACTGTAAGTAACATATAAAACGAACTTCTTAATTATTATTTTTGAAATAATTATTTATTTAAAATTAACTGTCTAATATGAATATCTTGTTTGAAATCAGTTATAATCCGACTCAAATTGGCAAAATGTTTTGCATTCAAATGGACAGTAGGGACAGGCATTTCTTATAATATATTTCACGAGATTTTTTATCTTCTTATCATATGCTTTATTATATTTTTATTATATTTAATATTGTTTTCTTTTTTTATTAATCGGCTCTTCAACTTTGTTCTTCGGATTATTGAAGATTGGTTTTTATTGCTAATAGGCGTTGGCAAAGCAGCATTCACATTTTTATTATTTTATTAATGCATTTATATATATGCTATTACTGATGTAGAATAAGAAAACTAGTTAGTTCTGGCTTACTGTTGGTATAAAAATTTATTTCATTCTCCAAAAACACATCAAATGTACGATACAATTTCTAAGGTGTATAAACAATTGTGAAAATAATTAATTACTGTTAGAGATTAAAAAACAGATAAAGAATTTTATCCTCTACCCCAATAATACAGGAAAGGCAATACGCGTCTCGGATTATTCTTCCGGATCTTCTGTTTTTATATTGTTTTTTAATCTCTTACACTCTTCTTCTTTTTCTTTCAAATATGCTAGCAATTCTTCTACACGGTCCACAAAAATTTTCCATGCTTCATCCATTACATGATAGTCTTCTCTTTTTACTCCCATTATCTGAGTAACGATTTCCCTTTTTATGTGTCTCGTAGGTTTACATTCTTTGTCATAACTTCTACTTATAGTTGCATGTTCTGGTTTGTTCTTTGTTGCACTCCGCAAGCCTAGAGTAAAACAAGTGATGAATTATATATTTATTACTTATATAAATATGTAGATACTTTATTGGCAATGTTT